TTTTAAAGTGCAGCCCGTTTTGGCGCTTAAACTACTGACAAAAGCTATATTCCGGTTTCTGTGAGCGTTCGTACTATGATAAACTAATGATCTATCAAATCATTATTGAATTATACCCAAATAATATGGTACATCCACTGAATATGAACATCCCTGCTATAGACATAAATTTTACACCAGCGTGGGGCATCTGAAATATAAAATGCATTAGGTTTTTGGATACCGAAACTTTTATTTCGAAACATTTGAAAACATTAGGAATAAAAAGAAATGAATAAAAAAAACAATCTTACTTAACGAACATTGATTTTGCCTAATTAGTTGCCTTTCAACATATGTCTTTTCAAATAATAATTGACAAAATATCATAACAAAAAGCCTGGCATGTTTTACATTAAAGTTTCATAACCAATAAAGAAAGAAAGAAAAGTTTGAATTTCTTGATTTATAATCGATATCTAACAGTCCGACATATTGCAGTAAAATTATTCAATTATGTAGTAAAATTACCCAATTAAAGGCAACAACAATGAAGAATTACAAGATAAGGTATTTAAACTCAATATCATTATATTATCAACGTAAATAAAGATAAAAATGTTAAAACCAAATGAGACACTGACCTCAAATAAGATATACAGGGTGCAACGACCTCGGGTAGAATTTTCTTTAAACATTTACTTCGGTAAAAACATAAACAAACATATAATTGAGCCGCGTCATGACAAAACCAACATAATGGGTTTTCGACCAGCATGAATCCAGACCAGCCTGCGCATCCGCGCTGTCTGATCAGGATCCATGCTGTTCGCTATCAGTTTCTTTACTTGTAATAGAGTTGGTAAGCGAACAGCATGGATCCTGATCAGACTACGCGGATGCGCAGCCTGGTCTGGATCCATGCTGGACGCAAACCCATTTGGTTGAATTTGTCGTGACGCGGCTCATATTGAATCTGAAGTATTCTTATTATGATGAAAAAAAATGTATTAACAACTTACCAACTTGCCTATAAAAGGAGACGCCAGGAACTGAACAAATGGTGATGTTCCAAATATCCAACCGGATAATGTATCACTCACATCTTTCTTTAAAGCCTGCAAAAATATCATAGAGTTCATTAAATGTTTAAAAATTCCATCTTGATTCAATTCTAGGAATTATACATGTAAATTTCTTCAAACCCGAAATGAGGCGCATGCATTTCTTGACTATATTGAATACTATTTTACAGTTTGCAAAGAACGCAAGAGACAAAACTCTTAATCTACCAAAAAAGGACATGCCTACGCTATCGACAACACAAGAAATGTACATATTTTTCTTGCTATATATATTGTTTTTCCTCTGATGTGTTTGAATTTTAATAGCACCCACGGCACCTCTGAAACAATTACATTGGGCTCATTTATCTTGTCAATTATGATGCTATTATCTTGAAACACTCTTTTTACTAATAAAGGACAAAATACCCGGTATAACCTATAAGGCTATACTAGTGTGTCGGTTGTATAACCTACGTTGAATATATACATGTATATTTGTATACATTGTTTACGAATAGGAGCGTGATAATAATTCACGATCCAAGAATCATTGTAAAGGTAAATGAGACAAATGCCTGTGCTGTTTTTTTCTTCTAAATTGTATGTCAATTTTAACACATTCTTTGGATATATCTCAGCAGTCGTCCATGTAACCGGCTTTTCTGGATAACTAACCAGTAATTACCAAATTTCTGTGCCAGTGACCGACTACTAATCAGCGGTGAGGGCTAATTTGGAACACTTGTGCGTCGTGTTGTCGATAGCGACAGCATGACAAAGCGCCAAACGTCCTTTCGTCCTTCGTCCTTTCGCTAACGATCTACGCCAAACGGCTCGTTGTCGTACGGCGTGTTGTCGCGATGTCACATTGTCGAAGGATTGGCTATTTGTATATATATATATAAGCCAAGCGACAGGGCGATATCGCGCCGCACGACAACGCGCCGTTTGGCACGCTTCGCTAGCGACAGGACGACAAGACATAGTGCGACAATTCGGCGTTTGGCGCGTTCCGCTATCGAAAAGGCGATAACGATATAGGTTGTGTTGTCGCTATTGACAACGCAACGCGCAAAGTGTACCAAATCAGCCACCATAGACAAACGATTATTTCCAAGAGAAACAACGCCTAACCCCGAGGATCAAACCAGCCACCATTTTTTCACTAATCCGATGCTCTCCCTATTGAGCTCAGTGGTCGGACTATGCTCTGATGCTATTGAATACAGAACACACAAAATACCTCTTCCGGGAAAAATGGAGCCATTATAGACATGCTGAGGAAAGAAAGCAAGTCCACGATGGATGTTGTTGCTAAGACAATCTTCTGTGTTCGAGTCAACGTCCATATTGATAAGGTAGAACTCTGTGAATCAATCCGAGATGACGAAATCGATAACGACCTTGACCTATAAATGGATGGCGTTCGTGTCGTCTGCCGACCCCGCCCTAGTAATGAACTTCTTTCACTGAACACGTCATGCTCGTCATGCTCGGTATTAAGTGATGTATCTTGACTCGGAATATCATAGAAACGTTCTTTATCACTGTCCTCCTGACTAGTCACTGTCATTACTAACTGTAAACCTGAAAATCGGAAAATTAATCAATCAATCAATCAATCAATCAATCAATTTTTTATTATAATCCAAAAAAAAATGGGCAAAAACTCCTTTTATCTTACACAATTATCATAAAATTTAATTTTTGACACAGATCAGCTGGGGCACGTAAAACAGGAAGACATGCAAAAAAATTAAGAAATTTACTCTGAAGTGAAATGAAAAGCGTATTTTGTGCTATTTTTTTTATATGATTTGAGTGAAAAGCGTTTAAACGCTTTTCATTTTTCACTACTTGAATAATCATCCTGGATAAACCGCGAGAGCAAATGATCTAAAATTTTGCACACAAGGTACTTATCTCGAAAAATATTTTTCCAGTCTCTTCATGTCAAAAAACCTCAGTGGAGTCCCTTTAAAATATTACTATGTATTACTTATATTCACAATTTACACCGTCACGTGTTCGATGAAAGAAATATTTTGCGTTTACTCGAATATACGTTTTTCAATATTTCGACTGAAAGACTGGCTGATTTTACAAACAGACATTAAACAGATGTCTGTGCACAATTCGACACAAGGTTATTTGTGTGTGTTTGTGTGATCAATAAGAAGTTCTTCAGACTTTCTAAGGAAAAACTAAACCCACACGTTTTCTTATATTGAACATGCATCACATGTTCATAAAAGATACAACAATTCAATGCAAAATGAACATGATATATGCATGAAGAGAGTTGGTTCAATACATACAAAGTAACATATGTTTCTACCAGTGATTACCGACTCAGATAAGTGATTCAACTGGTAAAATTTAAATACATGTATAGAGAGGATATTCAAGTTTCTTCTATTAAATACAAGATTTATTTTCATCGGGTGGTATGAAAATAAATATCACACGAGTGGCGGTAGCCTATTTTCATACCACAATTTGAAAATTAATCCTGCATTTATAGAAAAAAACCTTAAATTTTCTGATTAATAAATTCATTTTTCTCTTTTCTGACACTACAATTTGAAAGACTTCCCCTAAAATGTTGTGTATTGGTTGAATTAAGCTGAAAGAAGTCCATTGAAAATACGGAAAATACAAATACGCATTTAATTTCATCAATATTTTTTCAATATTTCATTTATAGGTATGTAATACATACTGTTTATTAAACAGTTGGCGATACATTTCAAGAAATGGCAGCAGTATACACTGTGCTTGACAAATGCTCAGACACTACGTTATTGCCTATTGGCATTTGTTTTAGCATTTTGCTAAATTACATCAATTTTCCTATCATTAGCAAGGGACAGTTCCAAAGTCAAAGCAGTCAATACTATAAATTATATAAACGGACAATAGCTAAAAAGTCCATCTACATGTACTTAAAATATGTATGCAATGGTCACATCTTCCAAAAGAATTGAACAAATATTGATATCATGAAAACAATAGAAAAATATCATTTGGATATTCTTATAAAATATTTCTGGAAAAAAAATGTAGTTTTGTATGAACATATATATGATGCATAGTATTTCGTTCCATCTGCCATTTATTCATATGTCATATCGAATTATTTATCTAGCATCTTTACTAACAACATTCACATATAATTCTTTCGCAGTTTGTTTTCAAGTATGATTCAACATAATTTTTATGGTATAACAGACGTTCCATTATAAAGTCAATTCACTCTTAAAAGTAGGACTTTGTTCTATATTTGTTCTGATAAAATAACAGAAATGACCTGGTAGAATATTTCATGCAAACAAACTTAAGCAGCGACAATTTATCAAATCTTCCTAAGAGATTATGGTAATGCAGTTGTTCAGGTTTATATATATGTATGTATATATAAAATGTTTATGGGAATACCGTGAAGGTTTCCGATATGTGTATAGATCTATGTAATACATAATAAAGAGCTATAATATCAATTTTTTTAATGTTCATGTATAGCGAAATCACAAGACTGGGGTATCGAATATCAAATCGTGAGACGGTTGAAAATGACAAGATTATTTTTAGACACGATTTAATTATGTGTTATATATAGCTAAGCATACAATATAAAAACGATTTATTTATAAAAAAAAATACAACTGGGTAGTCGTGTACTGTACACAGGTGAACGTCGCGTGGCCATGACTTACACTATACCCCTATAATTTTTTAGTCATATTTTTTTTTTCATAAAATTAATTTTTGTCAATACTTATGATGTCTGGATGTTTAAGGGTTTTGGGTTATAGAGGGGGAACGGGGGTGTAGTGTAAGTCATGGCCACGCGACGTTCACCTGTGGTACTATATGAGCCGCGTCACGACAAAACCAACATAATGGGTTTGCGACCAGCAAGGATCCGCGCAGTCTGATCAGGATCCATGCTGTTCGCTTACCAACTCTATTTCAAGTAGAGAAACTGATAGCGAACAGCATGGATTCTGATCAGACTGCGCGGATGCGCAGGCTGGTCTGGATCCATGCTGGTCGCAAACGCACTATGTTGGTTTTGTCGTGACGCGGCTCATATATGTCTTTTAAGATAACAAAATGAAAAAATTCAAAAAGAATGTATAATTATGTTTAATTACAGTTTCGTACGTCTTTATCTAAGTCATTTCAGATAGTTCATCCATGTCGTGTAACGTTACAAACAAGTTATAAGAAATAAAAACTATATGCCTTCCAAAACTTGGGTGTGGGCATCTGTTATCTGTAAATTTAATTGTCTGTAAATTAATTTGATACTGTTAAAAACTCTTAAGGGGAGCCGAGCGTATTTTATTTTCATTATTTTTTTAAGAGATTTAAATGTCAGAAAAAGGAATACTATGAAAAATGTAGGGTATTAGATTATATTAAAAATCATAACAATGTCTCGAACAACCCTAAACTTGAGGGCTATCACAAGGGTGGACGCCTAATTAAGTACTAACTAATGGATTCGAACCACAATTTAGGTCACGACCATGTTTTTAAATGACACTTAACTTTATTGCGATGTTGACTCGAATATGATTTATAAACGTGCGTCACATTTTAAATGAAACAGAACTACAGTATGTTTTAAAAGCAACAAAAGAATGCATAGAATGAACAGCAGTAACAGAATAATGTTAAACAAAATTCTCACCTTTCTCGTTATATAACCACTTTAAACTAAATACATATCTATAAATTAATATTGATTGATAATTCCATAGTATATGTCATCTACACAATGAAAAAGCACGTGTTTACAACATCCGTAAATCAATAAACATGATAGAAAAATGATCGTCACGCAACTAGGGCATGTTTACGTTTGTACGTTATTTGTGCTACGGTGTAGAACGCTTAACATACTAAACGAGTTTATAATGCAGTAGAATTTTAAGTACACGATGTAATAAGGTATGCCGTTAAACTTGTATGAACCAAGATATGTTCATATAACCTTTTAACATAGAACAGAGCAACTGGTTAAATCTGGTTTGTGACTCAGTTCATTGCCCACAGATTTTTTTATAGAAATGTATTTATTGACGTTTACATGTAGTACTTATACAGTATAGTCGTTTCAACATACATAATACAATAACTTGGTACATTACAGTAGCAAAACTTGTCGCAAAAAATATTCAGTAGGAGAATGAACGTTTAACTATCATAAAACGTTTATAATGTAGCAGAATTTTAAAGTACACGATCTAACAATACAAACTGATTCTGCTTGCCAATGCCAAAGTTCTGGACGTGTAAAAACGTAGGATTTTAAACTTAATCATTTGATATGATAATTCTATAAGAACAGCTGTTTAACAATGTTTCATAACAGACACATAATCAAAAAATTTCAAGATTAAACAATATCAATACATATAACAAGACCAAATTTATACATTGATTTATCGATACATCGATTCTTTGTGGTAAAATATTTTTTTTTTACTCAGACATTGACTCTTTGTAGTAAAATATTATTTTTTCACTCAGACTTTTTTCAGTACTTAGGAATATAGAATAGAATAGAATAACTTTTATTCAATCAAGGGTCATGTTAAATGACATTTTTATAATAATTCAGTAAGTTTGAACATACTTGGTCTTCTGTACTAGTATGGTTTTAATAATGTAAGATATCGTATATCTTTAAAGTTTACAGTAAATAATTTCATGATATGTTTAAAAATCGACATAAACTAAGGGACCCCCAGGTTGGGACCATTTTTTAACCCAGGGTCACAATTTATGTAGCTTTTGTAGTGGTCACCTAAGCAATGCTACATGTAAGCTGTTGGCATTTTAGTTTCACACAATAAAACTTGAATTTATTTTCTATATAAGTCCATATTAACTAGGTGACCCTCGGGGCTGGACAAATATTGACCCAATGGTATCAGTTTTGTGCAGGTCAACTAGGCAATGCTACATGCCAAACATTCAGGGTCTGGACATTGTAGTTTTACAGAATAAAACTTAAATGTCATTTTCCTATATAAGTTTATATAAATCAGGTGACCCAACGGGCGAGGCAAATATTAACTCAAAGGGGCTTAATTAATATAAGTTTTGTGGAGGTCCACACGACATTGCTACATGCCAAATATCTTAGCTCTGGTCATTGTAGTTTCACAGCATAGGACTAAAAGATTTTTCCCTTATAAATAAGTCTATGTAAATCAAGTGACCCCCCGGAATATAAGGCCAGTATTGGCACAAGGGGCATAATTAATAATAGTAGTATATAAGAGAGTAGTCCGGAAATATACATCATTAACGGGCAATAACTCTGTTAAAATCATTGAACTGTAAAGTGACGACGATATGCTTAACTAAACTTGCTACTTATCGTCCCTGTAAAGTTTGGATGAACTTGCACCAGTAGTTTTTAAGAAGTAGTCCCAACAGATGGACATACCTAAAAAAAGTGGTCTTTTCAGTAAGTTGTAGCTACTTTGTAGCATGTAACAGCTTATTTTTGAAGAGTAGTCCGGAGAAGTTTTGTGACGGACGGACAGACGACGGAGACGTGATCTCTAATGTCGCCGCAATTTAACTCTGTAGCAAGCGACACAAAAATTCAAATTATTCTTTTCTTTGCCTCCTATGACAGATTATTTTACAATCACCGTATTTTTAAGTTTTTGCCTCAGAAAATGTTAATTTGATACATTTTATGTAACTTGTAACATATACATGTATAGTAATTAACCTGCTGAATATAATATGATATATTATATTATGTACCGGTACAGTATATACATGCATATTACAAAATAATAAATTAAAAACCAAAATTTTGTCCACTTTTCCAGTTCTCGATAATTCAACAGGTTTATCTGTCATGTAAATCCCATGAAAACTGTGTGCATTTTTATTTAACTTACGATGGTTTGATTACAGTAGCGAAGAGCTTGGTATATATGAGGGGTTTGCGGCTTTCTGTAATTAGTGCAAATAGACAGTTGCTGCAGTCGGAATATGTCTGCAGGTTATTTACAGACCTGGTGACCTTTTTAAAACCTTGTTCGCTACACTCTTTCGGCTTTCAAATCGTCACCAGGTCTGTAAATTCTATGCAGACCTATTCCTTGTACGGTATATATTGCTAAAGTTTTATTCTAGTTGCGCAGTAGCTAATATCAGCTAAATTAAAGGAAAAGTTGGAACTACTGGAAGTTTAAGTGCAGTTTACAAGAAGCAGCACCGGTGTTAGCAAGAATATAATTCTAAACAATACTGCCGATTGTTAAAACATCAACATGGTCTGTGTACGAACGGACATCTGTGTGTTAAACCAACGTCGATATTCCGGTAGGTAAACAAGAAAATGCGATTTTTTGGCATCTATCACGTACGAGAGACGATCAAGTGGTTCGAAAGTAGAGACTTCTAATTACAAAACCTTAATAAAAATCTGGACAAAGTATGATCCCATCGGAAACATAAATCGCAACAAAATTACATGAAAATTGCAGACTCGATTTGATTGAGTCTGTACATGAGGGATAATGAATAATTGCAATATCCCTCACGCCCCCAGCACCGGCTTGAACAGTACTCAATTTTCAACACTCTAAAGTGCTGGAATCAATGATCCCGAAGGACCAGAAAAATATTAAAATGAAGACTTAATAAGTCATCTGGCAATATAAACTATTTTCAACCAAGTTATGAGTAATTAAGAAAAAAACAGGAGTGGATTAAAGAAATATCGTGTATAAAACATGGGCTTTTAATAATGGAGCATATTAGAATTAATCGGGTTATTAAAATGTTAAAAAAAGTCTTCATACCTTTCTTGGTTGTAGTATTACAATAACTAGCTTTATTGAGTTATCTGAAAGCTAGGTCCATTTTGTAAACGTTTGCCAAAACTTGGTAAAGTTAAGTCATATTATACAAGTTTAATAAATAGGTTAAATCAATCTGATAACAATTTATAACTTCCCAAAATGTACAGACAATAACTATAATATTGCACCATGAAGAAGATATACAAAAAATACTCTTATAAACATACACTGTAAATAATAACAGAGTCAAATATCTACTAACAATAGAAAAGATAAAACATAGTTGTTTCCATGCTAGATAATATATTCAATGTACAATAATTTTGTTGTTTGATTAACGTTAAATTATCTGATATATAATACTCATGGTAAAATGCAAGTTTCTATAAAATCACGTATTAGTACCACGTGGCTTTTCAGTCCTTGAAAGAACCGGTATTTAGATCAGTTCTTGGAATTCCCCTTGTTACTAACACTCTTGTTGTGATTCAGTGCTGGTGTTGTAGAAGGCTTTCTTTGTGTTGCGCCATTTGGAAACCCTCGTTTGTCTTTTGTTACAGGTTTCATCGCCTGATCACAAGGTCCCTGTGATATTTTAGATGCTCCATTATGTACCGACTGTCTTTGTGGAGATTGAACACGTTTCACGTCTTGTGTGTTTGAACCTAACCGTGTAGGCTTCTTTGTAGATGAAGATCCAGTTTTTTCATTCGTCTTGTCTATTACGCCTGTTTCATCTGTTATTCCAAGTTCTTTGTTTAATACTGCATGCTCTTCTTTCACTAACTTTCTAAGTTCATCCTGAAATGCATATTGCAATTAATCTTAGTATCTCAGTAAAACAATGGCTTTGGCGTCTATGAAATGTTAACATATAGAAGAAATATGTTGAAATTACAAAAATACACCCCCCGCAAAAAAGGAAAAACAAAAACGGAAAAAACACATGCATATAGCGTGCTGAACCATATAATTTAACTACCATTTCTTAATTATAGTGATTTTAGCAACGTTAAAGAGATAAACTGGGTGTGAGTCGAATCTAGGATGCTTATCAATAATTAAGGTCTATTGAATGTAAATCAAATTGTATTCATTGACAATTAGAAAATATTTGATTTACTTACACCCCAACCCATAATATCTGCCAGAGCAAAGCAACCTTCATCACACTTTCCTTTCCAGAATACATCTCTGAAAGTCATACAATTTCTAGTATAAGGTAACATATCAAGACACATGATATTGTTATGCTAGGACGGCGCCTTGAAGACCCACCAAGATTCCTTGTATTACGTGAATATCTACCAACGGCGTTAAATGACAAGTGATAATAAGTCAGCAATCTTATAACCAGTCGCCAGTAAAGAATCAAACAATGAAACATATTCAATAACATGTCTTCAATTTGATTGTAAAATTTAACTACATGTATATATTCTTTTCAAATTTAAAAAAAATTTCATTAAGTGCAATCGCTCTTGTATAACTTAATTTTATGAAAAGATGTAGTCGTACTTCATTCATTGATATGTTTGTTTGTTTGTTTCATTTTACGCCTTTTCCCGTTCATTGATATGTGATTTATATTCAAATTTCCATTTTTACAATAAAATAGATTGGAAATCCCTATCTATAAAAGCTCTTTTAACCGCTTTGCTGTTATGTTGACTTTTAGTCAATGCGACGCTGTAAAGTTGATATGACCCTCCTTTCTTGCATCACTGATTACTTCAGGTACGAAGCTGGTACCTGAGTAGAACTACAGACAGTCCGTAAGTTAACTTAATAGCTTTGTCACATGATCGAATTCAAAGTACTTTGAGGGATTCGATGGAGTGCATAATATTTATTTGAAAATAAGAAAGTTTCACCTTATGTTGTCCTCATTCTCAAAATCGAACCCTCCACCAAAAAATAACGCAGATATTGGATGCTTTGCCTGAAAGTGTATAAGTTGGTAAGACGTTTATGAATATTCATTAGCCCTTAACATGCTGAATATGTTTTAATGGATTTGTCCAGCTTTAAGATTTGAACATTGCATTCAAAGTTAAAGTTGTTTAATTAAAAAATAGCCATCAACATAATAGTGTAAACAGACTACATGGAAGTGTAGATTGGCCTGGCTCAATACTGGTGGTTAAGGAAAA